TCGACATCCCAAACACACGGACATGGAAAACTTTCATTGTGTGCAATCCCAGTGGCACAGGGAGAGGGTAAGATTTACCCACGATCTGACAGCACTGATGTAATGTAATAGTTTAATTAATTCATGAAAGTTTCATCTTCTTCTTCTTCTTCTTCACATATTTACCATTAGTATCATTAGTATAAATGGTAAATAAGAAAGATTGATTTAATATGTCATCTAAAATAAATGATAGATGAAATGTGATTAAGAACCCCTGCTATTTCTACACAACACAAGTAACGTTAAGTGAAGTCTAACGACTTGTGACGACGTATGATAATCGATATTTGTGTTAGTTACGTGTTTAAATTTCTTTAATCCCTACCACACCAAGTTCGTTTTGTTTTTCTTATAGACAGTGGTAACGCTAAACTCGTTCTCAGTTCTAACTAAAAATTCCAAGAGATAGGAAGGAAAGACCGGTACTCTAGTATAGTCACTCGACTCCTCCATTTTGTTCAACACTTTCAAATTAACCAACGTAAATAGACAAATTTTCATTTTTTTCTTATTTACATTTCTTTAACAAATATTTTTTTTTTATAATTAGTGTTAAATTTTCGTTTGACGATTACAAATTAAAAAAGTAATTAATTTGTTGATAAAAAGAAAAGAAAAACATGACGTTGGAGAAGAAAACGTCAGTGAAAGAGTTTTACAATGGGAAAAGTATTTTTCTAACTGGAGGAACTGGATTTCTTGGTATCAATTTGATCGAAAAGCTTCTACGAGTATGTCCCAATTTGGAGAATATTTATTTACTAATGAGAAGTAAAAAGGACAAACAAGTTAACGATAGACTTGATGAGTTAAAGAGAAATGCGGTATATTATTATTTTTCTAATTCATTCTATTTAATTCTACTATGTTTATTGAAATGTTAAACTTATTTGATTTCATTCGGTTAGATTTTTTATAGATTGAAAAAAACAGATAAAGCGGATTATCTGAAGAAATTAATTGCCGTTGCTGGCGATGTCAATGAAGAAAATTTGGGTTTGTCAGAAAAAGATAGAAAAACAATTACAGACAATGTACAAATTGTCATACATTCAGCTGCCACTTTGGATTTTGAAGCTAGTTTGAAATCAAATATTAACATTAATTTGTTGGGTACACGCAGAGTTATTCAGTTGTGTCATGAAATAAAAAATCTCAAGGTAAACCAGATATTACAAGATTATTTTTAACATATTCCATTAATTAATATTTATGATTATTCTTATTCTTATTTGCTCGTCTGTGTATTTATCATATTATTACACAATCACTTGTTTCTTGTAGGCTTTCATTCATGTTTCCAGTGCGTATGTTAATTCAATGCTGTCAGATGTAGATGAAAAGATTTATCCAGCTCCAGCTGACGTTAAAGAAGTATTAAAGATGGTAGAAGAGTTGAGCGATAAAGAATTGGAAGAAAAGACACCTAAGATATTAGGTGATCATCCTAATTCTTACACATTTAGTAAACATTTGGCGGAACATGAAGTAGCCAATTCTTCTTTGCCATCTGCAATAGTACGACCTTCCATGAGTGAGTTTTACACTATGTGTTTTTATTTATAGCAAAGCTTGTAGTATCATTTTATTCATAAATGTCTTTTATGGTGTTACAGTTGTAGGATCTTGGAAGGAACCAGAACCTGGATGGACCATATCCAAAAATGGGCCAACAGGCTTTATTATGGGTGCTAGTATGGGAGTTGTCCGGAGATTACCTATTGCAAAACATTTAATATACGATTACATTCCAGTAGATGTTGTTTCAAATACTATTGCTACAGCTGCTTATGCTGTCAATCGTGATGGGTATAACTTAACTGGATTATCCTCATTTTCTATTAATAATAAATTAAAATGATATTAACAAACTAAAATATGTTTTTTTACTTATTTCAGTGGGACTGACGTAAAAGTGTATCATTGTACATCGAGTACAACTAATCCTTTTAAATGGGTATCCATAGAATCTAAAATAACAACATACCTACGTAATTTTCCATTGATGAAGGCTGTTTGGTATCCCAATCTCAAATTTTGTAATTCAATATTCTTCTTTAAACTTAGTGCTTTTTTCATACATATAATTCCTGCATTGTTGTTGGACACAATTAGTCGTTTTACTGGAAAACGTCCGATGTAAGCTTTAAATAGTATAATTTAATAAATTCTTATGTAATGAATTATATAAATTATTCAGTAAATAATGATTATGTATATATATTTCAGGTTATTACGTATGCATAGGAACATTAATAATTCGTTGGGTCGTCTTGAAAAATTCATTTTCACAGAATGGAAGTTTAATAATCCAAATTATATGAATTTAAGTAATTCTTTAACCAAGGAAGATGAGGAAGATTTCTATTTGAACATTAAAACGTTAGTTTGGGATGATTACTTCCTAGATCTGGTAATTGGTTGTAGAAAATATCTAAGTAAAGAACCTAGTGAAACAATCGACAAAGCACGTTCGAAACAGAAGAAGTAAGTATGATCAATGAAATGTACTTTGTATTGTTAACAAAATCTTCTCTTGTTTTCTTTCTTTTTCTAATTAAATATATTTTTATACAGATTGCAGATGATTCATGTTACCTTTCAAGTTCTATTATTTGGACTTATTTGGTGGCTTTTGAAAGTTACGTTCAACGCAACTTGGATTAAAATCGGCATTGTTTTACCATTCATATATTTTCTCTTTGATATGATTTAAATATATTATATAAGAGTTGTTTTGCATTCATTATTCATATAATATCTGAATCTGAGGTGGTGGCAGATTTTGTTATACAACACGCTGCTATTCATTTATTTACTTGTAAGAAGTAAAACAGAGCACACTATTAGGTACACATAGATTACAAATGTTCGTTCTAAGTATACATTTTACGGGAGAACTCATTTATATTTTGATAAAAAGCGAAAAAAATAAAAAAAAAAATAAATAAAAACAATTAATTTATATGTGTATTAAAGAAATGTTGTTGTATTATTTATAAAAAAAAAAAAAAACATTTTATATAAATTATTTCTTTGATCTTTTGAATGAGTTCTTCTGATCATTTCAAAAGAAAACAATAAAAATTGTATGAATAAAAAAATTACATTGTTCTATGCGTTCAAAATACAATGTATATTTATATATACATATTTATATCTTTCAAATCGGATATAATAGATTTCTACGTAAAACTCTAGAATAGGGGAATGATTCTAAGATCTTTTCAATATAAATGATAAATTTATTTTTCTAAGAAGATACTTTTGGTTTCAATCTATCAGTTGAATCCATTTGCATTTCTTTAATATATTCAGTATTCAATATATTTGTAGAACTCTTTATAATAAAAAAAATATTTTTACTAGTATTAATTATTGTTTTAAAAAAGTGTTTCATGTATTTTATACATAATATGATTAAATTGAACACATAAATTAATATGTTTATTGATATTATATAAAGATATATATGTATATTTTCTATTATTTTAAAAATTATTAAAAACTTTTTTTATCTTTTTGTAAACATTGAAGATTTATATATATATATTTTATATATTTATCATATGATAAGAAAATAAATCAAATGTTATTTATCATCGGTAACACGTTTTCTACTTTATCTACTGTCGACTAAGCAGAGTTTAATTCTCTTATCAATATATGGTACGTGTACATTGTTTACACAATCGATAAGAAAGATATTGTGTAACACAAACAAGGAAAAGAAATTTACTTTTTAAATAAACAAACATTTCATAATTTATTTTATATATAAAATGAGACAATGCAATGTGTCAAGTATAAACAATATTGTTTTGTTATTTGCAAAAAATGATTTTATTATTACTACACTTGTCAGTATTTTGTTGACAAAATTTATATTTAATATATCATCGTTGTAAATGTTATAAAAAAAAAAAAGTATTGAAAAATTGCTAATATTATGTAATCAAAGTAATAATCAATTTTTAATAATGGATGATAAAAAATATTCGACTAAATTTATCCGAAAATATTTTTCATTAAAAAGAGTTTAACAACGTGCGTGTCTATTGGGAATATAATACATTTAAAATTCGAAAAGTCATTATAGATAGAAATAAATAAAACGAAATTTGATGATATACTATAAAGACGACTGAAAATATAAAAAATATGACTATTCGCAAGTTAGTATAATAAAAAAAGAAATAAACGTTTAACGGGAATCCCGAGCAACAAACAGGAATGAATAAAAAGAAAAAAGAAAAAAAGAAATTAAAAAATACATGAAATTTCAAGGCAGAGCTTGTGATTCAATTTAATAAGTGATCAGGGAAGTCCCGGGGTAAAAGATGACGAATAAGAAAGATAAAATGATGAAGAAAAATAAAAAAAAAGAAAGAAACGAAATCTATACGCGTACCTTTCACGCAAAGTGTATAAACGTAAAAGCGAGGTAAGCGTCAAGGGCGTACAATGAACCCTGCAATATAGTAAAATTTCAAATGGGTAACATGATGTACGTTAAGATCATGTACGAGGACAAATAAGAAATTATAATCATACGTAAATGGAGTAAAAAGAAAAGAAATGCAAGAAGAAAAAATAAACAAAGGAAGATTAAAGGGAAACCACCTCCCAACTTACCTACCATCTCCAAGTATCAAGGTTAACAACATACTGGTGATAGTGTAAGGTGGTGGATGTACAGTAGTAGATTGGAATAAAGCGTCGCGTGGAGCCAGAATTTTCTCTCAGTTCGTTTCTGGTAGTGAACAGGGTATGTATGAATCATTAAGTTCGAAAGTACCCAAGATCTCGGATTCTTACCACGCTAGGTTTTATTAGTGTTCTTTTCGATCAGTCGTTTTCGTGTAAGGATTCACTGACGTTGTCCAAATCGAGTGGTCGTTACTATTTTACATTTTATCATTTCGTCGAAAGAATCACATTAATCAAGTTACCCTTTCTTTTTTTTTTTGTATAATCTTCGAAACCGGTTATTTGTTGTATTCGGCTACGTACTGCCGAATAAAAAGTATCATTTTCTTCAAGACACTCTCGATATTCCTTTTGGAAGTCTTCGAGGGTCGTTGGCAACATTCATCCACTTTAGTTCTTCTTTAACTTCGAATTGGACAACCAGGTATGTTCAGAAAAACGTATCTTTTTCAACCCTTTTATTTTTATTTAATTCATCATTTTTCTTTATTCTTCGTTTACTAGAAAAAGAAATAATATTTATAATTATTATCATTACTTTTATTTATTTGAAATAATATGAAATATTTATAATATTTTCTCTATCTAAATCATGCAAACTACAAATATGAAATAAGGAAAAATACTATTACCTATTTAGTAAAGAATTGAACGGTATGATCAGACAATGAACATAAAGAAATCAAAATGATCGTATGTATAAAGAATTTGTCACATTATTCGTTGTTCAAACTAAATAATTTATTCTCAACGTGATTCAATTCAAGATCAAGTTTATGAAATTAAGTTTATATACAAAAAATTATCAATTTTATCAACAATACGTGGGTGTATATGTGCAGTTTGAATAAAGTTTATATTATATGAATTATTCATTAAACAAAATATACTAAATATAATTTATAAAATAATGTTTATAAAAATGAATTAAAGTACAACAAGTTTGCAATGATATAAAACAAACAAAAATTGTTATTTAATAATTATTTTAAAGGCTAATCAATTTCTGTTTATTACACTCCACGTGATTTATTAAATATTAAAAATATTTATCTCAAATATAAAATACCTTGAGAATAAATTACTTTCGATGGTCCATTTGTTTTTTTTTTTTTTTTTTTAATAGAAAGTATAAACGATAATATTAAAATATTCATTAAAAAATTTCATGATAGAATTTTAAAATTAAAAATAAGTATCAATGATTTTGAAATATTCAACAAATGAACATTTGCAAAATAATTAAGTTCAATTTGTCAATTGTTTTGTTGTTAACATTGTATTAACCATGTACTATTTGTTATTAGTTATCATTACAAAAGTCATATTGCAAGGAAAAGCAAGTAAAAATATACTTAAAAGTCATTTATAAAATAAACATTCACAATTATCTTGAATATTTGTCAACGTTGTTTAAATAAAAGAACGTCAGGAACTTTTTCCTTTTTTTTTTCTTCATTTTGTTTATACATGTAATGCATTATCAAATTGAAATGTATGTTAATGATAATGCATAAGCAAATGTGTACGTATATTAACAAACGTAATTTCAACAAACCAAATTAAAAAAGTATAAAAGCTGTACAATAAGCTGTAATAAAAGTAAATTCGAAATGATGTATTATTTCGAGCACAAAATTCGTTCAAATTTGAAAAATGTTAAGCTGTATAAAAACTTTATCTTTTCTTTTCTTTTCATTAAGTTTTTACATACTTAGTATTAATATTTATGTATGTTTATACATTTTGTTATAGTTGGTAAAAAAAAATAAGTGAAGAAATCAGAACAATGGATTCGACAACGACGATACCAGAATGGTTTAAGGATCGCAAAGTTCTTATTACCGGTGCTACCGGATTTTTAGGCAAAGTAATGATTCATAAATTGTTAATGAGCTGTCCAGATATTGGCAAGATTTTTCTAATCATTAGAGGAAAAAAAGGTGTCGATACACAATCAAGATTGAAGATCATAACCGATGTAAGTTTATCTTTGTATGACGTCAAAAGATTATTATTATATTTTATGTATCGTTTAATATTCTTTTTGTTTTTTTAAACTCATTTTTATCAACTAATACATAAATCATCTAACAATTAATTTATTATAATGTTTAATTAAGATAACGAAGAATTTCTTAGAATGATTATTTTACAATCTCATTTTCTTGTTTTTTTTTTGTTTTGTTTATTCTTTTTACTTTTTATTTCTCGTAGAAATGTTTCCTATATAATATTATAATCTATCTTAGAATAATTTTTATATTAATGTCGGATGTTGTATATTATATGCGTCATTCACGTAAAACATCTTGATATTAATGAGTAATATCAATAGTTGTTATCATAATTGAATATCTTGATAAAGGATACATTGTACAGGAGTTAGATTTATTAACAAAGTATTAATCAATTGAAATAAAAATAGGTGTTTTTCTTTTTTTTGTAGAAGATCAGACATTGATAAATCTATTGATTTAAAAATAATTCATGAAATACAGTGAAGGATTAAATCACTTGGTTTAAATTTAAAGATGAAATATTGAAATGAGTTATTGACAGGGGGGGGGGAGATTTATGTAACATTCATTGACAGTTGGTCCAAAGGAGAATAATTTATTCTTCTTCTTCTTCTTCTTTTTAATTTACAAATTCACTTGCAACATAGTTAAGAACGAAAGTGAAACTTCGACTACTTATAATAATTGTGAAATTTGTTTTAAAAAGAAGAAAAAAAGAATAAACAAACAAACAAACAAACAAAAATCATAAGAACCAAAGAAAGTAAAAACGCACAGTTACGAAAGAGAAAAAAAAGAAAGAAAAAAGAAACCAAATTATCCTTAAACCTATTTAAGATGATTTGAGTGTTCAAGTGTCAGAGTCAGAGTCACAGAGTCAGAGAGAGAGAGAGAGAGAGAGAGGGCCTTTTTTTTCCTCACTTTTTCGACATATTTGTTTATTTGAATTTCACTTCTTTTTTTTTTGTTATTCTCTATCTGAAAAACTTAGTTTCACATTGTGCATATTTTTACAAATCTTTGATATTTAATGTGAATGTTGTAATCAAATTGTTAGACACTTAGTCATACGTTGTTAAATGAATTCAATAAAATCTGTTAACAATGTTCTTTTTTTTTTTTTTTTTTTTTTTTTATAATTCCACGACGTGTTTCACGTAGAGATCTGTAATTTTTATACAATTATTTTCTCATCAATTTGTATTATTCACGTATATTCATTATTATTTATCTCTCTGTATGAAATATTTGCAATTCTTTTTTTTTTTTTTTTTAACACATTTTAATTAAAATTTTCGTTCAAACTCTCATTTCAGTACTGAAAATCATAAAAAAAATAATTTGATATTTTTTTTTAACACATATACACAAAAGATGTATAATTATTCTATTAAAAAAAACGTAGATAAATAATTCTTTCTATTGCACAATTAGAAAACGTACAAATTTGGAAAGGTATATATATATAAAATAGAAGTGTGATATTTAATCGGTGATGCAGCAATCATTTTCGTCATTCGATGAACCTTTTTTTTTATTTCTTAAACTTTCATCAATAATGACCTTGTAACACTTTCTCCTGATGGCCTATAATCTATTTCTTTTTTTTTATGTTTAAATTAGAACCCTTCTTTAAGATATGTATATATATAATAATATTTATCTTTTGTAAATGTTTATTTCTTTACCATTGGTTTACTCTACACCACGTTGATATCAGCGTGTAAGTTAGTTTTATTCATTCAAGAGAGTGGTAGAACCAGTACGGACGTAACAAAGTGCGGGGAATGCGCTTACAACACACTCTTAACAAGTTACTAGCTAGAAAATAATCTTTTAGTCTTTCCTAAGTTTATCTGTTATGTTAGTAGTGGCTTTTCTTTTCTTTTCTCTTCTCTTCTTTTCTGAAAATCTAATGATTTATTTTAAAAAGTAATCAAAGTAAAAGTTCCATCATTGAAATAAATCTATTCACAATACCACCATCATTGATTTTATATCCCAGTGCAATCAATAAACACAACCCGTATTCATCTAGAAAATATAATAAACGTTTATTATTATTATTATTATTAATTATATTATTTGACATTTCATATTAGGTGTGTATATATATATATATATATATATAGATTCTTCAAACACGAGTAAGTAATTATACTTTGAAAAAAAAAAAGAAAAATAAATAAATAATAGAAATCAATCAATGTGTTTTGAGAATTAGGGGCTAATAATTATTAATGAAAGTATGATATATTTTCAAAATGATTCCTCTATCAAGTTTTAATCTCATGTTTAACCCTTTTGCACCGGTTGAGACATATGCTGTCCCATTCGGGAAAATTTGTTAATCAATTCAAAAGTCAATTGTGAAAACACTGTTGTTGATGGTGCAGTTATGGGGACGTTTATGGGTCACCAAGTTGTTCTTCAATCTTTTAGACATCAAATTTATTTGATCAAATAATCGTCTGGAGGAGAAATAAATTGATCTTTGTAATGGAACACACTAGGACTGATTTTTCACACAGATTAGCTTTATGTTACACGTGTCATTATTTTTATTTATTGTGTTTATTAATCTTTTCTATAAATATCTTTTGAAAATTGATTAATGATGTTTTGGTTGGTTTTATTTTTTTTTAAATTATAATTGATTATGTTAAATTTGCCATTTTGTCTTTATTAACATTATCTTGAATTTATATTAGATAAAACGTTAAACTGTAAACAACTTCTTCTTCTTCTTTTAATTTATTATAATACCWGTATCATCTATTCAATCTAACTGTCATTTTAATCGATAAAATAATTAATTTATTATATTCTTTCGTATTTATGTGCAATTTCTTTTCAATTTAAAAAAAATTACTTCCTTATAATAACCGTTTTTTTTTTTTTTTTTTTTTTTTTTTTTTTTTAATAATATCATCATCTCACCTTTGTTATTTCAAAAAAAAAAAAAAACAAGAAAAGAAAATGTTAAAGTCATCAATTTGATTCTATCCTTTTTCTTCTTCTTCTTTTTTTTTTTTTTTTCTTTCTTTTAAACATATTCGTTACTTACAATTATTATTTTTAATATATTCGTTCAAATTATATTTGATGATTATCGTATTATTAGTTAAGAAAATAATCTTGACATTCCGTAGAAAGAATAAAAAAATGGCCATTAATATTAGTGTAATTATTTATCCAAAGAAATTTATTGATGTCAAAGTCATGTCTCATGAATTTATATAATCATTTCTAATAATTATTCTTATAATAATCATTAATTATGTTCCTCCCTCCTTCCCCTCCCTTTCCTCCTCCTCCTCCTCCTCCTCCTCCTCCTCCTCTTTTTTTATTACTTATTTTTTATCATCTATTTCCTTTCTTAATAAATTTCTAATAAAATAATTGTTTATTGCGTAAAATCAAACTGATTTTTTATGAGTACTATAAATTTTAAAGTTTGACCCTCCTGTATACATACACATACTATATATATATTTATTTTTACTTTAATAGTTGTCTTTTTTGTCTGTTAAATGTTTATGTGCATCAGAGAGAGAGAGAGAGAGAGAGAGAGAGAGAGAGAGAGAGAAGCATCATTTTATTAAGATAAAAAGTGTAAAAGTGTAAAAGTACAAAAGAAAAAATGATAAGACGAGACGTTAAGCAAACAGTTTGCAATGGGTACCATAAATACTTAAACCGGACTTTCTTACATATATGTATTATGGTATGTGTTATTTCTTACGTGATACATGGTTACGTATGAAAACATAAGCAAAAGAAGTATCGTATGAAAATAAATTCGATCTTGAATTATATCATTCGTTCTTACCGGTTTTAATCTTGCTACATACAAATTGAATTGTTTTATTATTTTAACATGAATATAAACATATAAAAATATTTCCACATATATATAATGTATGTATGTATTGTACTATTAAAAGTTTTATGATCAAGGATTAGAATTTGTAATCAGACATTTTTATTAACGGATTGTGAATAATAATAATAATAATAATAAATGGCTGACAAAATAAAACAAAAAAAAAAAAATCTAAAATAATGTAAAAATGTGTCTTTGGAAGTTTTTCTAAGATTACAGATACAATTAGGTCATCAAACTATTCTCAATAGACTCATCTTTAATTCATGTTTCTTAGGTAATCTTCTTTCAAAAGATTTGTTGACGATCGCAGTTAGACAGACATAACTTCGATCAGATGTTGTTACTGACTTTTGACATAATCTTTCATAACTTTTACTTTTTATGCAAAATACATTTGTACACTTTAACATTACGTATAATTTTCATTGTTATATAATTGTTTTTTCTTTCTTTTTTTTTTAATTATTATTAATATTTTTCATTGTAAACAACAAAACAAAATCTTGTGAAATATTTTGATGAGAAGATTTTTGTTAGATTTATATTATATTGATTATGATAATATATAAATAGTATTATTTAATATTTAATAATAATAATTACTTTTTAACAGGTGATAGAAAAATCATTCAAAGGTAAATTACTGTTTGGAATTTTAAAACGACTTAAATAAAAAAAAAAAAAGTAGGTGGATCATGTAGTGCTTGGGAAGAAAAGTGAAAGCGAACGTTTAACCTCGAATTCGTCTTTACGTCGTTCATAATATTGTAGAAAAAAAAAAAAAAAAAAAAAAAAAAAAAAAATACCAAGTTTATAATAAAAACATCCAAGAAGTCGAATAAATGGAATGCAATTATTTGAAAATAAAAAAAACAAACAAATGATCGATTTTACT